GTCCAGCAGTGCCCAGGGGAGGTTCCTTTGGCAGAGGTTCCTGGGAATGGGGCTCTGGCTCCGGGCCCAGGGCAGGAAGCAGCTGTGGCCTGGCTGCTCCTGTGTTCCTGAGGCACTGCTGGAGCTGTTCCTGCTCCTCCTGGGGACACTGGGGGGTGAAGGACTCCCTGGCACAGCAGGAGGGGCTCCCCCTTCCCAGGGGTCCCAGTGCCAGCCGTGTTCCCAAGGCAGGGTCAGAGCATTCCTGATCCCCCATGGTTTGTCCCCAAGCCCCTCAGACCTTGTCCACAGGGGCTCTGGGGGCTCTGGGGAAATCTCCTTGGCCTCTCCAGCCAGGATGGGGCCTGAGCTGAGTGTCCTCCCTGTGGGCAGGTCCTGGACCCAGAGCTGGAGGTGGCCGACCTCGCCTTCCCCCCTTCCACCATTTCTGCCTCTTCCCTCAAGATGCAGGTGAGTGGTGGGAGGGAGAGGGACCCTGGGTGAGGGGCAGGAGGGAGAGGGACCCTGGGTGAGGGGTTGTTCCCCAGGGACACCTGGGGCAGGTGAGGGCTGTTCCCCAGGGCCATCCCATGTTCCATTCCAGCCCTGTGTCCATCCAAGCTGTGGCTGGACCCTGCGGTGCTGTGGGCTCTGGATTCACAGCCAGGCTGGAGCAGACAGGGAATGTTTGTCTTCCAGCATTCCCAGAGCTGCCTCTGCTCCCTGTGCAGCTCCAGGGGGGCAGAGCAGTGAATCCCAGCTGCCGTGTCCCTTTTCCCTGGAATCTCAGCCACATTCCCGGGGCTGATCCCGTGCTGGGGGGGAGATTACTGCCCTGGGAGCTGCCCTGTCCCACACGCCGTGTCCCCCAAGCCCAGGCTGTGTTTCCCCGTTGCAGGACAAGGAGATCCGGGCTGTGTTCCTGCGCCTGTTTGCTCAGCTGCTGCAGGGCTACCGCTGGTGCCTGCACATCATCCGCATCCACCCCGAGCCCGTCATCCGCTTCCACAAGGTGAGGAAACAATCCTGGCACTTCCAGGCCTCCCTGCTGTCCCTGCCAGCCCCAGCTGCATCCCGTGTTTGTCCTTGGGGTGTCCCAGAGCAGCTCCCTGCCCGTGCCCCGGCGGGTTCGGGTGCTGCTGCAGAGCTCAGCGAGGAGGGAGCCGGGCCTGGAGCTGGGGGGGTTTGGGAGATCTTGGCACTGCTGAGGGACCAGCTGCAGTCCTCTGGCCTTGTGTTTGTTCCTGTGTCCCTGTGTCACTCTGACCCTGTGTCCCTGAGTGACTCTGGCCTTGTGTTCCTGTGTTCCTGTGTCCCTGTGTCCTGTGCCTCTATGTCCCAGAGTCCCTTTGACACTGTATCCTTGTGTCCCTGTGTTCCTGTGTCCCTGTGTCACTGTGTCACTCTGACCGTGTGTCCCTGAGTGCCTCTGGCCTTGTGTTCCTGTGTCCCTGTATCCCTCTGTCCCTGCATTCCTGTGCCCATGTCCCTGTGTTCCTGTATCCCTGCATTCCTTTGCCCTTGTGTCCCTGTGTCTCTATGCCCTATGTCCCTGTGTCCCTGTGTCCCTGTGTCCTGCCTCTGCATGCCAAGGTGACCCCAGAGCCCTTCCCTTGCCCCTTGTCCTGCTGCCATGTGCCAGAGGCTCAGCTGGCCCTGTCCCTGCACCCTGGTGGCACAGGGAAGGAGGTGGCACTGTCGCAGTGGATGGATCCACCCACGGCTGGGTGTCACCCGCTCTGCTGATGGCCCTGGCTCCCTTTGCAGGCGGCGTTCCTGGGCCAGCGGGGCCTCACCGAGGACGATTTCCTCACCAAGGTGCTGGAGGGGATGGCCTTTGCTGGCTTTGTCACCGAGCGCGGGGCTCCCTACCGCCCCATCGACCTCTTCGACGAGGTGAGCCCTGGGGGCAGCTCCTCCTTCCCTTATCCCGGGTTTGGGATGGGGCAGTTCCCGTTCCCTCATCCCGGGTTTGGGATGGGGCAGCTCCCGTTCCCTCATCCCGGGTTTGGGATGGGGCAGTTCCCGTTCCCTCATCCCGGGTTTGGGATGGGGCAGTTCCCGTTCCCTCATCCCGGGTTTGGGATGGGGCAGTTCCCCCTTCCCTCATCCCGGGTTTGGGGAGGGGCAGCTCCCGTTCCCTCATCCCGGGTTTGGGATGGGGCAGTTCCCGTTCCCTCATCCCGGGTTTGGGATGGGGCAGTTCCCATTCCCTCACCCCCTGGCTTTGGAGGGGCTCTGGAGCTGCCCCTGTCACCCCTGTCCTCCCCAGCTCGTGGCCTACGAGGTGAAACGCATGAAGGCAGAGGAGGGGAACAAGCAGAAAATCCTGAGGCACATCAAGGAGCTGGCAGAGAAACTCTACAAAAATGTGAGTGCTGGAGCCCCCCGGGCAGGAGGGGGATGTGCTGGGGGATGTGGGGCAGGGAGAGCCTGGGGTGAGGGCTCCATGAGCTCGTGGTGATGGAGGTGTCCCTCCTTGTGCTGTCTTGGGTGGTCAGGCACATCCTCAGAGCTCCTGGCAGTGGGATTCCCTGGGTTTAGAGGATCACGGAATCCCAGAGTCACCGAGGCTGGGAAAGACCTCCGGGGTCATCCAGTCCCAGCTGTACCCAATGCCCACCTTGTCCCCAGCCCGGAGCCCTCAGTGCCACCGCTGGGAATTCCTTGGACACCTCCAGGGGTGGGCACTGGGCAGTTCCAATCCCTGACCACCCTTTCCATGGGGAAATCACTGCTGATGCCCAGCCTGGCCCAGCCTGAGGTTTCCTGAAGGCAGGAGCCTGGACTGGCTGGCACAGAGCTCCTGGTGGCACTCGGCTCGGGGGGAGCAGATCCTGGGGGGACACAGAGTGGGGCTGGGGGCTCAGGTGACCTCGGGGCTGAGCAGGAGCCGTCCCTGTGCAGGAGAACCCGTACCCCGCAGTGGCCATGCACAAGGTGCAGAAGCCCACCGAGGGCTGTCACCTGCGGCTGCACCAGAAGCCCTTCCCTCACCTGGACGAGGGCACGGTGCAGTGGATCATCGACCAGGCCACGGCCAAGCTGCAGACGGCCCCGCCCGCCGTCAAGGCCGAGAAGAAGTGCATGGTGCCCTCGGGACCCCCCATCGGTGTGTGGGGCAAGGGGGGACCCTGATCTGGGGGGCTGGGGGAGGGCATTGTGCCCTCGGGACCCCCATTGGTGTGTGGGGTATGGGGGACCCTGTCCTGGCTGACCCCACAGGGGTAAAACGTGGAGAAACAGCAGCTCCGACCCCCTCGGGCTCCTCAGTTCCCCAGGGGCTCCCCTGAGGGCCCCGTGGTCACTCGGCCAGGGGCACCCCCTGTCCCCAGCACCCCACAAGTGACCCGGATCTGTTCCCAGCTGCCATCCTGGAGCGCAATGGGAACGCCCTGGCCAACAGTGCCCGGCGCCTGGAGGTGGTCAGGAACTGCATCTCCTACGTCTTTGAGAACAAAATGCTGGAGGCCAAAAAGGTGAGAGGGGCTGGCCCTGGGGGGTCAGTGTGCTCTGTGTCCTCTGTGGATGGAGGGGACGTTCCCTGCCGGTTGGCTTAGGGTCAAACTCTGTGGGATCACAGAGTTACTGAGGTTGGAAAGTCCCTCTGAGCCCATCGAGTCCAGCCATTCCCAGCACTGACCCTGTCCCCAAGTGCCACATCCACATGGATTTTAAATCCCTGCAGGGATGGGCACTCCAGAGCTCCCTGGACAGCCCCTGCCAAGGCCTGACCACCCTTTCCAGGATGGAAAATTTCCCTGATATCCAACCTGACTCTGCCCTGGCACAGCTTGAACCTGTTCCCTCTGGTGCTGTCCCTGTTCCCTGGGAGCAGAGCCCTGCTCCCACGCCAGTAATGGGACCATGGAGCCGTTTGGATTGGGAATCCCTCTGGGACCATCAGGTCCCACCGTTCCCCACCCCCAGTGGCCACCACTGACCCATGACGTGTCCCCCTGTCCCCCTGCTGGTGTTCCTGGGATTTTGGCTGGTGGTTCCACACCATCACCTCTGCTGGTCCATGTCCCAGTGGCCCCGGGCTCCTCCCGTCCTCCCTGGCAGTATCCAGCTGGCCACAGCTGGAATTTTGCCCTGGTTCATCTCTCCCATGACGCCGGTGCAGACCCTCACAGCCCCTGGGTCTCGCTGTGCCGTGCAGCCCCCATCCCAGCCCACCAACCCCATTTTTCCCCCAGCTGTTCCCAGCTGTGCTGCGTGCCATGAAGGGCCGGGCAGCCCGGCACTGCCTGACCCAGGAGCTGCACCTGCACGTGCAGCAGAACCGAGCCGTGCTGGACCACCAGCAGTTCGACTTCATCATCCGCATGATGAACTGCTGCCTCCAGGTAGGGCAGGGCAGGGCAGGGCTGGGGGAGCTCCCTGTGCCCTGGCACAGCCTTGGATTGTCCCCATGTCACCCCTGCTCTGTCCCTGCCCAGGACTGCACAGCCATGGATGAGCACGGCATCGCCGCCGCCCTGCTGCCGCTGGTCACCGCCTTCTGCAGGGTGAGTGGCCACAGCCCGGAGCCCTCGGCGTCCCCCAGCCTGCCTGAGGCTGCAGGGGGGTGTCCCCTCAGGACCTGTCAGCCTGCAGCTCCTGCCCAGAACCTTCCACCCAGCCCAGACTGGCCCCAGGCTCCCAGGGAGCAGGAGCACCTGTGGGCAGGGGTTTGCTCTGGAATGCCATGGTCAGGCTGGGCTGGGATGAGCCTCTGGCTGGGCTCTGAGCAAGAGAATTTTCAGGGCATGCTGGAGGAGCTCTGGGGCAGACATCCCTCCTGCCTGCCCAGGGCTTTCCCAGTGGCGGCTGGAGGAGCAGGGGTGCCTGAGTGGAGAGCTCGGTTAAACACAAAGGCTGTGTTTGGATGGACCTTCCCCACCTCCTTCCACAGAAACTGAGCCCTGGCATCACCCAGTTCGCCTACAGCTGCGTGCAGGAGCACGTGGTGTGGACCAACATCCAGTTCTGGGAGGCCATGTTCTACTGTGATGTGCAGAACCACATCCGGGCCCTCTACCTGGACAGTACCGAGGAGAACCACATGGAGCAGGTGGGAGGGTGGCCCAGGAGGGCTCTTCCCAAAGGGCTGGGGCTCATCACAGTTACAGAATCATGGAATGGGATGGTTGGGTGGGAAGGGACCCCAGGGCCCCTGCGGTGCCACCCCTGCCATGACAGGGACACCTCCCAGTGTCCAGCCTGGGATCCAGGGGCAGCCACAGCTGCTCTGGGACTTCCGTTCCTGTTGTGGCTCCGATGAGGATGAGGGGCTGCACCCCAGTTCTGGGAGATGCCCGTGGGTCTGTCCACGCACCCACCCCATCCCTTGCCCTGCTGCAGGAGAGCACAGAGGAGCCTCAGGAGGCCAAGTCAGCGCTGGAGATCGCGTCGGAGCAGCTGCGGCTGTGGCCCACCATGAGCAGGGAGAAGCAGCAGGAGCTGATCCAGAAGGAGGAGAGCACGGTGTTCAGCCAGGCCATCCACTACGCCAACAGGATGAGCTACCTGCTGCTGCCCCTGGACACCAGCAAGAACCGCCTGCTGCGCAGCTCGGGCCTGGGCGACGTCGAGAGCGTCAGCAACAGCTTCGTCACCAACAGGTGCTGGCCCGGGGACACCCGCCGGGGACACAGCTCCAGGGACACAGCTCCAGGGCTCCCGGCAGGGAGAGCTGGCCCTGCTCACCGCAGGCCCTTGGGCCTCATGGCCTCTGAGGGTTCCTGCCAATCCCAGCCGTGCTGGGGTTCCAGGATCGTGTCGGGATTGTGGTGCCCAGGGGGGTGTCTGGGAGTGGGAGCTCTCCTGGGTTTCTGTCACAGGTGGGAGCTTTCCTGGCTCTGTATCAGCACGGGGAGCTCTCCTGGGTTTTTATCAGGAGTGGGAGCTCTCCCGGGTCCATGCTGGGAGTGGTCCCTGCCCGGGGCTGTCCCGGGCTGAGCCCTGCCCCTTTCCCTCGGGCAGCATCGCGGGCAGCGTGGCCGAGAGCTACGACACCGAGAGCGGCTTCGAGGACGCCGAGAGCTCGGACGTGGCCAACTCGGTGGTGAGGTTCATCAACCGCTTCGTGGACAAGGTGTGCACCGAGAGCGGCGTCACCAACGAGCACCTCAAGGGGCTGCACGTCATGATCCCGGGTGAGGACACGGCGGGGAGCCTGCAGGGAGCAGAGGGAGGGGGCAGCGTGGGACTGGGGCAGGGCAGGATGAGATTTGGGGAGGGCAGGGTGGGATTGGGGCAGGGCAGAGTGGATCTGGATAGGGCCGAGTGGATTTGGGAAAAGCAGGGCAGGATTTGGGCAGGTGGGATTCACGTAAGGGAGGGCAGGATTTGGGTAGGGTAAAATGGGATTCGGGCAGGGACAGGATGGAATTTGGGCAGGGATAGGATGGGATTGGGCAGGCCAGGACGGGATTAGGCAGGCATAGGATGGGATTGGGGCAGGACAGGACGGGATGGGGCAGGGATAGGATGGGATTGGGACAGGGATAGGATGGGATTGGGCAGGCCAGGACTCACCCCTGCCCCACAGACATCGTGCAGATGCACATCGAGACCCTGGACGCCGTGCACAGGGAGAGCAAGAGGCTCCCCCCCATCCAGAAGGTAGGGGCTGCCCGGCAGGGCTGGGGGCAGGGCTGGGGGGGCTGTGAGCCCCTCCCCATGGCCTGAGCCCCCCGTTGCCCCCCAGCCCAAGCTGCTGAGGCCCAGCCTGCTGCTGGGGGAGGAGTGTGTGATGGAGGGGCTCCGTGTGTACCTGATGCCCGACGGGCGCGAGGAGGCGGCCGGGGGCAGCGTCGGGGGCCCTGCCCTGCTCCCTGCTGAGGGAGCTGTGTTCCTCACCACCTACAGGATCATCTTCAAGGGAACCCCCACTGACCCCCTGGGTGAGGGGCTGCGGCCTCGGGGAATGGGAGGGGTCCCTGGGCAGAAGGGGGGAGGGTTGGGGAGGGTGGGGGATCCCGGGGATTGTTGGGGAGCCTTAAGGAGCAGTGAACCATGGGGAGCAGGGGGATGGTCAGGGATTTGTGGGGATCAGGAGGATGGTCAGGAATCCCTGGGGAGCAGGAGGCTGGTCAGTGGTCCCTGAGGAGCAGGGCTGTGATCCCTGGGGGTCAGAGGGATAATCAGTGATCCCCAGGGAGCGGGGTTGTGATCCCTGGGGAGCAGGGTTGGTGATCCCTGGGGGTCAGAGGGATGATCAGTGATCCCTGGGGAGCAGGGTTGGTGATCCCTGGGGGTCAGAGGGATGATCAGTGATCCCCGGGGAGCAGGGGCTTGGTTGTTTCTGTTGGTTGTGGTAAGGCAGACACACGGGGTGGCCTGGCCCAGGCCCTGAGCCGTTCCTGTCCCGTGTCAGTGGGGGAGCAGGTGGTGATCCGGTCCTTCCCCATCGCCTCGCTGACCAAAGAGAAGAAGATCAGCATCCAGGCCCAGGCGGATCAGTTCATCCAGGAGGGATTGCAGCTGCGCTCCTGCACGTTCCAGGTGGGACCCCGGGCTGGCAGAGAGCCCCCAAACCTGCTGGGCACTGGGACACCCAGGAGCAGCACTGGGGGACCCCAGGGTGGGAGGGAATGCGACAGAGGAATGGGACAGGGGAAAGGGAATGCAGGGAAAGAGAATGGAACAGGGAAAACGGACAGAGGAAAGGGAATGGGAATGGGACTGAGGAAAGGGAAAGGGAATGCAGGGAATGGGAATGCAGGGAAAGGGAAAGGGAATGCAGGGAGAGGCAGGGCAGCCCCTCAGCCCAGCCTATGGCCGTGGTGCTCCTGGGCAGATGCAGGCTGTGCCCCGATCCATGGGAAGGGCTGTCCCCTGGCCTGACCCCGCTGTCCCCTCCCCGGCTGTGCCCCGCAGCTGCTGAAGATCGCCTTTGACGAGGAGGTGGCCTCGGAGAGCGCCGAGATCTTCCGGAAGCACCTGCACAAGCTGCGCTACCCCCAGCACGTGCGCGGCACCTTCGCCTTCACCGTGGGCCAGTCCCCCAAGCAGGCCATGCAGCCCAAGGCCAAGGAGAAGAACCCCTCGCTCAGGTACCTGTGCCAGCACGGGGAGTCACACCTGGCTGTGCCTGGGACAGCCCCTCCTGTCCCTGCTCAGAGCCGCGGGGCTGGGGGCACGCAGGGAATGGGACACGGAGCCCTCCCGGTGCAGGGATTGCATGGCTGGAGCTCAGAGAGCCCTTAGGGGTGGAAAAGCCCTGTGAGACAATGACTGCAGCCGTCCCCAGCACTGTCCCCAAGGGCCACATCCACAGGGCTTTGAAATCCAGACAGGGATGGGGCAGCCCTGGGCAGCCCTTTCCAGGAGGGAATTCCCCAAAATCCTCCCTGCCCTCCCCTGGCCCAGCCTGAGGCCGTTCCCTCTCCTCCTGTCCCTGTTCCCAGATCCCAAATCCCCCCGGCTGTCCCCTCCTGACAGGGAGTTGTGCAGAGCCACAGATGTCCCCTGTCCTGCAGTGTCCCCAGCCCCACACAGTCACACTGGCAAGTGGGAGTTTGTCCCCTGCCTGAGGAGGTGTCCACAGGAGGGGTTCCAGTGGCCTGGGTGGCTCGGGGACACAGTGCTGCAGTGCTGGGTGACTTGGGGCCACAGTGCTTCTGTGCTGAATGACTGGGTGGCATTGTCCTGCAGTGCTGGGTGACTTGGGGACATTGTCCTGCAGCACTGGCTGCAGCCCTTAGCCCAGGCTTGGCTGGCAATGGCCCTGCCATGGATCCTCTGGTCACTGTGGTGGATCCCTGTCCCTTGCTGTGGTTTGGAACCCTCCTCCCCTGGGATGAGCCAGAGCTCGTGGGGACACTGTGGCAGTGTCCCCTTGGATGCAGGGGCACTGCTCCTCCTGGCTGCCCCATCCCACCTGCCCAGCACCCCAAATCCCTTGGGAATGGCAGCACCCGGGGCTCCTGCAGGGCCAAGGCGCTGTCCCCTCCCGTGTGACAGCCGTGGACTGAGGGCTGCTCCTGGCTGTGCCTGCAGGGGTGACAGCGCTGTCCCTCTGTGCCCTTCCCGTGTCCCCAGGACGCTGTCCAAGAACCTGGTGAAGAACGCCAAGAGGACGATCGGCCGGCAGTACGTGACCCGCAAGAAGTACACCCCCCCTGCCTGGGAGCAGCGGGGCAGCCAGCACTTCCCCGAGGACATCGAGGACGAGATCTCAGGTGGGGAGCACCCCGGGAAGCTCTGGGGGCAGTGGGACAAGTCCTGGTGTTTCTGCAGTGGCAGCACGGTGGGAGCATCTCCCAGTTGCTGGTGCTGGCTGGAAAGGCCCCGGGGCTCAGGTGATGGTGGCAGGTGACAGCAGTGGGTCGGGCATTGCTCCGTCCCCTCCGTGTCCTGCTGTGCTCTGGCACCACACCGAGGTGTCCCCAGCCCCACCGTGTCCCCGCAGTGTCCGAGGAGCTGGACAGGAGCACGCTGACGCCCAGCAGCACCATGAGGCCGTCAGAGAAGATGACCATGACACACGTGGTGGAGCGTGCCTGCTGCAGGGACTACCAGCGCCTGGGGCTGGGCACGCTGAGCAGCAGCCTGACCCGCTCCAAGAACGAGCCCTTCCGAATCTCCACCGTCAACCGCATGTACGCCATCTGCCGCAGGTGAGCCCGGGGAGGGCTCTGCCACAGGAGTCACAGACCACACAATCCACAGGAGTCACAGACCACACAATCCACAGGAGTCACAGACCACACAATCCACAGGAGTCACACTGCCACACAATCCACAGGAATCACACTGCCACAGGAGTCACACTGCCACAGGAGTCACAGACCACACAATCCACAGGAGTCACACTGCCACACAATCCACAGGAGTCACACTGCCACAGGAGTCACACTGCCACAGGAATCACACTGCCACAGGAATCAGAGAACCACACAATCCACAGGAATCAGAGAATCACAGAAATCACAGACACCACAGAAATCACAGAAATCACACTGTCACAAAATTCACTGAATCACAGAAATCACAGAAATCACAGAATCACACAATCGCAAAATTCACAGAATCACAGAAGTCACACAATCACGGAATTCACAGAATGTCACCATGTCACACATGGTGTCCGTGGATGACCATGAGTCCTGGTCACTCCGTGGTGTCCATGGAGGGCCATAAATCCCAGCTCCAGGTGTCCAGCCTTTACCTGCCCTGGGCTTTGTTCAGTGCAGCTTGTCAGGGTTGCTTTTACCCAACTCAGGGTTTTGATTTAATGATCCAAAGAACAACCGGCAGTGTGGAGCAGTCAATTAGTGCTGTCTCCGGGTGGGCGCTAATTAATCATCACCCTAACGAGGCTGTGTCAGGAGATCCATACCACCCCCAGGGATTTGTGTCCACAGCTACCCCGGGCTGCTGATCGTGCCGCAGAGCATCCAGGACAACACGATCCAGCGGATCTCTCGCTGCTACCGCCAGAGCCGCTTCCCGGTGGTGTGCTGGCGCAACTCCCGCACCAAGGCCGTGCTCCTGCGCTCCGGGGGCCTCCACGGCAAGGGCGTCGTCGGCCTCTTCAAGTCCCCGAACGCCCCGACCCCAGGTGACCGTCCCGCCCCGCCTGCAATGTGGCACTGGGGCTGTGGGATCGCCCCTGGCTCCGGGCGGTGACACTCGGGGGTCTCCCAGCTGTGGGTGGTTACCCTCAGAGGTGTCCCGGTTCCGGGTAGTGACAAGCTGGGGGTATCCGTGTGACACTGGGGGTGTCCCCTGCAGGCCCCTCGCAGGCAGACTCCACGAGCCTGGAGCAGGAGAAGTACCTGCAGGCCATCATCAACTCCATGCCCCACTACTCGGACGCCGGCGGGCGCAACACCCTGAGCGGCTTCACCTCGGCTCACATGAGCAGTGCAGGTGAGGGGGCCAGGGCAGGGGGCACAGGGGGGCTCCTGCCAGCCCTGGGTGCTGCTCTGCATCCCAGCGCAGCCTCCCACAGCCCAGGAGGCAGCACAGCCTCTCCACAGCTCCCAGCTCCAGCTGGGCGTCCCTGGCTGCGGGTGGGGATGGGATTTGGGAGATCCGGTGTCCCTGGAGCACTGGGAGCCCTGGGGGATTTGGGAATCCCACTGTCCCCAGAGCTGGGAGCGCTGGGAGCCTGTGCTGGGATCTGGGGGCCGGTGGGGACAGAGCCTTCCCACCAGGATCTCAGCACTGTGTGCCCCCCATGCACGGTGCTGGGGTCAGTCTGGGGACCCCGGTAAGTCTGACCTTTCCCAGCTGGCACACTCCGGTGCCATCCATGTTGTCCCAGTGCCATCCGTCCTGTCCCATCATCCCACCCATCATCACTGTGGACACATCAGGGGCTGGGGGCTCTGGGGAGCCCAGGAGGGCTCCCTGATCCTGAAGGGAGAGAACTTCCCACAGCACCTCCCAGGCCTTTCCCCAGTGTGGGGGGCTGGAGCAGGGGGCTCAGCCTGGCTCTGGGGGTGGCACAGGGTGACCCCACTGTGGGCTGGGGGCTGAGCCCCCTGCCCCAGGGCTGCCTGGGCACTGGTTTTC